TTTTCTTGTCTTCTGTGTTTGTCTGCCCTGTTCTACTTATTGGGTGCTTGTCCCTGACTCTGAAGTACCAAATCACATGGCTCTCCTGTATATGTCAGAAGTTGGCAGAGAGCACTTGTTCTCCTGTTGATGGCTAAGACTCCCAGAGTGCTCTTGAGATACATGAATCACGCTGGGCTCTCACAGGCACTGCTGACCCCTCTGCCTGGAGAGCAGAGGCAGAGTGGAGAGAGAAGCGGACAGAGCAGATGGTTGAACTGGTGGAAAGGCTCAAGCTTTTTAATCCTCCGCCTTCTAAAATGTCATTTATCTGAAGATGTCCTTGCATTCTACTTAAAGAAAAAAAAAACAGTGATCACCTGCTGAAGATGTGAATGTCTAACTTGAATGATTATAATGCAGATGATGACTTGGTATTACATCTCTCATTTTTAGTACATTTTGTTATTTGGGTCAATGAGAATTATCCATCATTTAAAATTGTCATCGTTGATTTGATTCGCTTTTTTCTCCTTATGAAGAACATGAGTTAATAGTCTGCCCCTTTGCTGACATAAAATATTGTTTTAAAAATGACTTTAACTTGTCTAAATCTTAGGGACATGTTTAATAAATTGTGGTATATCTATAAGTAAGAATAATTTATGGCCAATAAAAGTCAGGATTCAGAATATTTAATGACAAGGGAAAATATTCATGATATATTATTAAGCATTAAAAGCTTTAAAGTGGTGCTCTATATCTAGCATGATTCCACTTTTATAAAAAAATAGATACGCACTAAAAAAGGGCTGAAATATAACATAGATTTAAAACTACTTGTCCTTGGAGGATGGAACTAAAAATCATTTTTTTTAAACAATTATTTTTATTGAGCTTTTGGGAAATTTCCACTTTTTTTCTACAATGAACGTGGAAGAATGAATAACTTGTTAGTAAAATTATTTCGATTTTTTTTTTGCCTTCCTGGGTATGAAACTCAATTAGAACAGAGAAATTTCAGTGCAATCACCAAATTTCTGTTAACATTTTTCTGATGTAACCAGGGAGCTGGGGCAGTCCGGCCTCATTTCTCCCATCAAATCCCAGTGAGAGGTCCCTGATTGACATCATGGGCAAATATTCAAGTATGGAGGGCTGACTGTCTGGGGTCAGCAGGGATGACTAGATTCAGCAATATGGGTGCATGGATCAGTCTAGGTTGCATCCTTGTGGGATTGGTGGGGATCCCCAGGCTCCTGGAGAGAAGTTCAGGGGGTGTGAGAGGACTGAGTAGAGAAGCCTTGCAGGAAATTAGAAGAGGATCAGGGTCCTGGTCAAACAGAGTGGGATTCTCAGACAGGCTCAAGTCCCAGAGGGATGTGTTACCATATAGAGTGATTAAGAAGAAAATGCCTTTGGCAATTAAGATGAAGCTTTAATCAAGAATGGAGACTCTTAGGTGGCTTCCCCAGGTGCAGTTAAGGAAGGGAAGAAAAATGTACATTACCCAAGTGTCCACTAGGTGGCAGACCCTTTCCTGTACTAAGAATAAGAATATTCTCAAGCACTTCCAGATATTCAAGTCTTCAAAATCGTCAGGAAGGGGGAGGTAGAGGAATCAAAACAGGGGAGAGAAGAGCACAAGGGACTATGGTGATGGTTCATGGGTGAACTGGTGGTGGGAATTTTATGGGGAATACACTAAAAAGGACAAAGTATGCAAGTATACATTGTGAAAAAAGGAGGTGGGCAGGAGGAGTATGTGGTCCTGGTGGCTGAGCAATCAGTTCAAATGGTGACAAACTCTAGGGGGTGTAATATGGAGATATAAAGTGTGTTGGGGAGCTCATTTGCCACCATTTGGTGTTAGAGCAGATTTGAATGGTGGGCTCTGCAGCAGAATGTAAGTTCTCAGTCTGTATAGTTAAATGTGTTACTAATCAAATTGCTTAGAATGCTTGTAGCAGGTATATGCAGAATAATGTGAAGTCTGTTTTCAGGCCAAAATGAAAAACAAAACTGTTGATACATAGCAAAAATAAACCTAAAGAAAAAAATCAATTCTCCAACTATTTGACATGAAGGACCATTTGAAAATAAAAAAAGGTCCGATCCATCCTATCCCAGTACATAGTTCTACTGCATAAGACTTTTATCTAGCTCTGTTCACACATGACTGACCAGGTAAGTTTGACAATACCCAGCCAGTTTATATACTATTCAGCAAAATGAAGTCACTGATCACACGTTTGAATGTCAGTGGTAATATTAATTGCACTGAAAGTTTCTAGAGTATACTCCCAGTTTCTGTACTGGCTTCAATAGAGTATTAAAAGTAATCATTTGCAGAAGTGTGCTCATTCACAAACCACATGCAGGGCTGCACTGGGCCAGACTGACTCCTTTACTGATTTTTGGAGATGGCTTACTGAGCAACTTCAAAATGTATGTTCTTTTGGACCCTGTGCTATAGATCCTTCATTTTTTGTATCCCTCAGGGACATTGGCATCTTACCCATCCCATTTTGAGTCCTTGAAATGGGGTTACTTGGATGTTCTTTTGGCGCTGCCGCTATTTATTCATGCTGGGATGTCAAGGACACTGTCTTGAATAGTGCAGACACTCAATAAACATGGAGGGATGAATACATGGAATTATAATCCAGGACTGAGATATCAAACATGCTTGGGACGAGTCAGTGAGGAAATAAATGTGCAGCATAGGTACACATAAAAACAGAATTCTCTTCACAGTGACTATATAGAGCTAGCACACACGCAGAGCAGAGAACCAACTGGGAAAAGAAAAGAGCAACTAATTGCGTTGCTTCCCTCCTCCACGGTGCCTGAATAAATGCAGGTGTCCACCAGAATGCAGTTTATAGGTTCTTGGGTCATGACAATGTAGACTTTCTGGTGGCATTTTTATGCTGAACCAAGACTTTGTCTCATATCAATGCCAAGGTGAACACTTGTAGTTACTCTGGAAATACAGGAGAGTTTACTTTAGTTATTTTCTTTTAAATGCTGAATACTTGAGGAAGAACTTTTGTATTTTCTCAATAAGTAATTTTCTGACTTTCAACAAAAGAGAATAGAATGCAAGGAGAATGGATTCTCAACTGTAACATCCCTGAAATGCCATGTCCCATACACTCATCTGTCCTTACCAGGCACGCAGTGCACTCCACGGAATTTATGTGATTTAATGGTGCATAGTTAATGACAATGACCATAGCAATAATGATAGCTGCTATATAGAGAACACTATATGAAAGCTACCATGATAAATACTCAAGTACATTATTTTATTTCAATCTATCAACAATCACATATGATTCTTCAAGGACAGAATGTGGAGGGCTAGAAGTCTAGCCCAAATATATCAGATTGAAAAATTTATACTTTGGAACAACTAGCCTATTGTCAGGTATTGGATCCAAATAGAGACCCTATTTTTTGCTTTTAAGGTGAATCAACAAACTAAAAAGTGTATAATGTTGGGAGCTTTATATGTGCCCAAGGCCAAGATTTCTCATAAATGATAGACACACAGATAGGCTATATAAATGAATAAATAGGTGAGTGAATGAGTGAACACTGTTACCGATGGTGAATGAATCAAATAGTTTGTGATGCTCTTAAATCATGAGGATGCTATAGTTTCCCATTGGTATTTGACTATAAATCAAGGACTGACAAAGTTTTGATTCCAGCTCATGAAATTTGAACATACAACTGGTTACAAATGCTGAGTGAATCTCAATTGTATTATATCAAACATAGCTGTCCTCTACTGCCACTCCTTCAAAAAAACTTTTGTTCTTTTTCTAAATGTCCCTGTCAAATTCTCAAATCTCTAAATAGTAAAGATGAGAGACAGCTCAAACACAGTTTCCCAAAGAGAATATGTACAATTTTGACTACACTCACATCAGCACTCACAACACAATTTTACTATTATTTTCAGATAATCCTGCATTCAATGAAAACATTCTGCATACTCAACTTCCCAGGTCAAGTGATTTCAGAAAAGGTGAAGGACCAGCAGTTTTTGAGAGTGATAAATAGACTCATGTGATTAAGTTCAAGTTAGAACAGTTCGCAAAAGCCCTTCATGGCTCATATATGGGAGTCCGTATAAACATTCACTGATAATTCTTGGAATGTGATTATCAGATATACAATTCAAAATATACAATTCAAAACTTTATCATAAGTCAAAAATCCTAGAGAGGAACCAAAAAGACCTTTTTAAAAATCATCATGTCAAATTGGAAAGGAATGGGAAATTAGGTGAACTTGAACATGTAAAGACACAAATTGATTTCTTGGGCATTTAAAGACACACATTGATTAAAGAAGCAAAGATTTTGGGGAACCCTAAGACAATAAAGCGATCAGCACAAAGACATCTGTCAGGGTGGAGGTGACCTGAGGCGAAGACCAGTTAAATCTAATGCAATCAGGAACTTAAGGCCAGTTTAACTTATTTTTTTAATGAGGTGACAATTTCTAACACGATAATCTCACCTTTTAGGATGATGACACAGGATTTAAGGAGCAAAAGAAAACAACTTAAAACCTTTCTTTTGAGCATGAATTGTCAGTTTAGGTTAGATTTTAAGATCCCATCAGGGGAAAGAAATGCACACACGAACACACACACACGCACACACATTTCTAAGCAAGTTGTTATATAATGGTAGCAAAGCCGGTTTCCATTCAGATTCAAAAATAGAATTAAAGCCAAATCTAATAACCTTTCTGCTAATTAGAGACATAAAAATGTCCTTGTGGCCCTCCACAACGTGAAACTGAAATCAGCTACCTTCCTTTGGAACCCTCTTATTTATTTATGTTTAAAAGAAGATTAGGGGGAGAAAGAAACCTCATAACAGAACAGAGGAAATGCATGGCACGCTCCACCGTAGTGAATGGAGGCTGAGCACACAGTTCTAACAAGGGATTCTTTTCCTTGCTGAGATACTGATATGGTCTACTAAATAGCGGGTTACCTTTACATTTCTTCTCTTCTGTTTGGAAGGTCTGGGCACTTGGGATGCTCTGATCGTTCACATCGTCATGGTCCAGATGGAATATCGAGCTAGTCCAAGTGGCCTGGATGAGATGTGGCGACGACTGTTCATTTTTCAAGGTGCTGCACCTCTCCGCATGGCTCTTCCTGTGCAGACAGGCTTCAGACATCCCTACTAGCTTCCAGTTGTGCTCTTGGTCTGGACAGTGCTTCGGTTTGTCCCAGGCTGGAAGGCCATTTTCTGGAGGGTTGAAAAACATGAGATGACGAGCTGTTGGCATTGCCAAGATTTTGTGGAGATGCAGAGTTTTGGAAGGCAAGTTGTTTCTCAATTCTTTTGGGCTGACAGTATTCACATGCACCTCCACTTGACGGCAATGATAAGATGCAGAATTTGTCAGCCTTGGGCATTTAGCCACCACAGTTGGATCGCCTGTCGGAGCAATCAACACATTTCCCCTTATTTTTAGTGTCTAGAAAGACATTAGTTCCTCCATGGGAAGGCTGTACTTTTGCCACTCCTGCCTCCACAGCAATGGCCCAAGAACCAGTTGACACCAATTTATGTGAGTGCTTAGATGACCACTTGAGGTCTCAAGGGTCAGGGCTGACCGTGATCACTTTTCAAATCCTGAGGGCATAAAACATCCAGGATTCAACCTTGTGTGACTTGGATTTTATCACAGGCTGACCTGAGGGGCACCCTGTTACTTAAGTGGGACATGCTTGCAGGGATCTACGGGGAGTGACAACTCTGTTCCTACCCTCCTTCTACCCCCGACGGCCCCAAAGTAAAGATCAGATTGTCAAATGGAGATTTTGTAAATGGTTTCAATGTTGTCTCCAACTGGCGATGTCATCAGAGAAGGCAATCACTTAGTGCTTTGGTCGTGGGGATAACGAAAAGACCTGTGAGAAAGAGTCCCAAATCTCTTTGATTAAAGTACAGGCAATTAATTGCTTACATATGTTGTTTTCTATGTAATTTATAGGGACTTAAAGGTTTGCTCTCTAGAAAGTGGGAAAAAAATGGAAAACTGTAATGAAAACCTCTTCACAGGAAACTTCTCTGATGGGAAATATTACCTCCTTGACTATTTTTATTGTGCATGGATGTAGAACATAAAAATGAGCATGCTAACATACATATGTATACATTGTTTATGCATATACATTAAAAAATCCATCTGGTTTTCCTTTTTTTCCAGAAATTCCTAGGTACTGTGCGTCAAAATGGGAAAACATATAGTATTGATAAAGTTCTACTTTTAAAGTGACCACATACAGGAACTAAAGTTGTAAATAAATTTCCTTTCTTGCTGAAATTCCCAAAAGACCATAGAATCTGTATTGGAGAGACAAATCCATCCTGATCGGCACACAGCCCTGGAATTTAAAACTCTTTTCTATACATATAAAATGGATTTTCAATTATTTATCACAAGGGTTAAACCTGCTTTGGGTTTTTTATAAGCACCCAGTCTACAGCTACTACGGGTCTTCCATTAATGTTGGTGAAGATGGTTTCTCTAAAAGTGTAATGTGCTCTCAGGCACTGTTGGAAGTTGCAGCGAGACTTCAGGTTACTCTGTGAAAGTGCCGATACAATTTTTACTTCAGAAGGCTGAGCAACTACAACAATGGAGTAATGACCAACACATGATTTCTTCGTCACCATAAATGGAAATGCTGTGGCTTAAAATATCCTAATTTGGGGCCTCTCTGGTGGCGCAAGGGGTTAAGACGCAACCTATGAAACAATCCGCAGCTACTGCAGCACAAGTTCGATCCCTGGCCAGGAAGCAACACACAAGGCACTGCAGACCTCTCCTGACTCGCCCACTGCTCTCCTCAGCAGTGTATTTCAGTCAATCTGCTATTCTGTTCCCCACTCTGTCTCTGGTGGATCCTCCCACCCCCCCACGCCTCTGGCCTGTACCCTAGTTCTTGTATGCATAAATAAATAAATATTTAAAAAATTAAGATATCCTAATTTGACCAGGAAGCAATAATCCCCTTAAAAATATCATACAACATGGTAACTTGGATGTTACATTTGATCTTAGTCAGAGAGGAGTTCTGAAAATTCACTCTATGCTAAAGACTGTGCTAGGCATTTAATGAGTCAGTTAAATACACGTGGGTTTTTCCTCCTTAGAGTTTGTATAGCATTATTCAATGGTTGGTGAATCCATAAGTTCTGACCATGGTAATTACAAATGCAATTACAGGCACTCATTCTCATTATACAAAAAAGAAAACAAAATAAGAGAAAACAACAGATTAAGACCTTGGGAGATTGTATTGCATTTCAAACCTATCTATATAGAATCCATTCAAGCACCTATTATCCATTAAGGCGCAAGGTTTTTATGAGCTAAATATAAAGACATTGAATGCAAGAGTTAATTCTGGCCCAGAAGAGATTCATTTTCTCTTTTGATCCATTCTCACCTATGTTTCTATGATGTCTGTCTATTTTATTTTAAGGGACTCAATCCTCAGCAAATTGCATCCTATAGAACTCCATTTTAAGGAATGTTAAAGTTATCACACTATTTTGTAACGTTGCCAATACTTGAGTTTTCTGCAGAAATCCTTATATTTGGTATTATTCCCCTGGAAGAACAGAAATGAAGAAATAGAGCAAACTGGGCAGTCACTGCTCTTGAGGGCAGGGAGCTTGTGAACAATGCTTGGATCAGAGGTGCTGAAAGACCTCGACCTCAGTGGGACATTCCTCCTTATAATTCGGCCTATTGAATCTTCCTATGTCCCCTGGGCCAGCAAGAGGGGGTTTCTTCTAAGTGAAGAGTTTATGTTTGGGGTGAGGCAGGGGATAAGATTGCCTTCCATTTTCTTAAGAACAGAAGCTGAGATGTTTTGGGAAAAGGGTTTCGTTCATGAGAGGCATTTACAAGCTCAAAATTACTGTCTGTAATTACATTCACCATAATGACATTCAGTTGCTTAATTGGTGGGTTTATTGGTTGGAGAGCTGCTGGGAAACTGGGGGACTGAGAGGTTTTGGTTGGGTCATGGGAAAACTCAGCAGAGATTTATTTAAGGATTCTTGATTCTTATCCTCCCAAGAACAAGGGGTGGGTGGGGAGAGGCACATATGATTCCTACTCCATTCCCCAGGAGGGGGAAAGACACTCACTACAACAGGTTTCTTAAATTGTGCTTACTGGGGAGACTGTCACTGATGAACTCCAAGTTCTGCCACGTGTTTGCTTGGTGACAATGCTTGTCATTAATTTCCTGCTATTTCTATGTCAAATACTCATATCCTTTGGTTACCCCAAAACTCAAGCCAATGAGATATTTCTTTCCAGAGGGATTAACATCTTAAAAGGTTAAGTTATGATTTTGAAACTGGTGAGTGTATCAGAGCCACCCAAGGTATTATTAAAGACACAGAAGACTAGGTTTGTTGCAGTAAGATGTGACTGGGCATTTGCATATTTACTAAATTCTCCAGATAATTCTGATACCTAGTAGAGTTTGAGATCTACAGGGTTAAGAAAAATCTAAGGTAAGAAAATAAATTATCAGTAGCTTTCAGATAAGCATGTAGTCTCCTTCTTAGACTCTGTTGTATTACATAGACTTGGAGTAAATTTGCTATAATTAAAAATGTATCAATTGTTTTAGGGTCTGTTGCATAAAGCATTAAAAGTCAGATGTTAATTGATGTGATCTTATAGATTGCAGATATGGATATAAGTAAATATTCACTCCAAGAACCTGTTGTTCTGAACATTATCTAGGACACAATGTGTACAGTAGTAGAAATAGTATTTTTTTAAAGGGGATTCTAGAAATGATCATATCTTGCTATTCACACGAAATATGAATTCTTTGCTCTTTACTGGATCCCAGCTAACATCTTGCTGTTACTATTTCGTATTTCGGAAACCAAGATAATTGACAATGTCAGCAATGATACAAGTTAATAAATAGAATCAAAGAGAATAACTAGAGAAAGTCTTGTGAATTATTACTAAAACAAGTAGGCACATACTGGCCTGTGTGTCTCACAGAATTGAGATTTGAATGATTTAGTTCATATTAGCTGACCATATATAATTCTGGTGACTTTGAATGACACAGCATCTAAAGGAACATACATAAATCTTATGAACATAACTACCTATATCCTATCTCAGGAAATTTCACTAAAGATGATAGATAATAAATTTGTCCATCAAAAAGGGGAATTAAGTGAAAACACTCAAATATCTCAGGACACAAAAGCAAGCTGATACCTTAGTAAAGCACTAAGGCAAAGGAAATAGGGTCACGACAGTGTGGTGAGGAAGGGAAGGCTGAGTAGGCTGGGATTTCATGGCATTTGTTAAAGAGTATTTAATTTGCATTACAAAGCCATCAATATTAGCCACTGACACCCCAAACTATATTTTATATTAGGGCAATGTATATTTAAGATACTTTGCAAACCCAGGGAGTATATAGAATTATCACAGTATAGCACCAGGTTACTAATTATGGCCCCTTTAACTTCCACTTTAGTTTTTTACTTTAATCCATAAGTTTTATTAGCTGAATTCTCAGACTATGAACACATCACCTGATTTTATTTGGGGAGTGATGTGGAACCAAAGACTATTATTGGGCTGTGCATTTACTGTGGGTCAGGTGCTGAGCTAGAGATTTTATTCTTATGAGCATCCTGGGGATTGGATCATTGACATACTGCTTGATAGGAGAAGCACTTAATCTGCAATTTCCCTCCTTGTCTGTTGTTGACAGACATGTTTCCATTTTTGCCTTAGTTTGATGAGTAACCATTGACCTATTAATAGCTTCAGTTTCATTAGGACTTTGAAAGTTCTGTATAAACAGTGCTCATTGTCTTATTCAATTTTATATTCATAACTGGCCTTTCTCCTTTCACTCAGTCACCTATAATCTACTTCCCATAGAGTAGCCAGAGTGAGATTTTAAAAACATACATCAGAGCACATATCTCTCCCTAAAATCTTCTTGATCGATTGATGTTCCCATCATTTTGGAGAAAAATCCTAAGGCCTTACTGTAGCCCAAGTGTGTCCCTGGGTTTGTCTCATCCCTCTTATTCCTTGAGCCATGTCCCTTGCTTTCTGTGCCGTTTCCAGATAGGCTTCATCTAACATGGGAAGCTCATTCTCATGCACTCTCTTTGTTTCAATCCTTATATTAAACATCTCCTAATGTACTAAGAGCAATCACCAGAAG